GATGATGACAAATTGTACACTTAAAATAATGATATTCCATCAAAAGTAATGACGCTTGTTTCATCATGCGGATCAACCACAACTAATAAAAACAATAAAGGGCCTATATATACATGTGTATCCCAACCAATCCGATAGGGGAAGGGGGAAGAAAAATGGGCATCTTATTGGAACTCCACAACATAAAAAAGTCCAGAAAAGTTTAAGAATAGATGCGGTCCAAAAGTTTTCACATTGGATGTATGATGCGGGTGTGGCATTCAATGTCGTGAATATGATAGTCTAGGGCCCACAATTGAAGCGATAGCTAGAGATTGTTCCTTAATGAAACCGTCTACTTATCATGAGGTTCGATTCCTGATGTTGAAGCTTGAAAAAATACACACTAAGAAAATTATGAGTAAAAATGAAGCTGAAAAGACAACCTATGGATGTTCCTTAATGACAGATGGATGGAGGGACAGAAAAGGAAGGGCGCTAATAAATTTCTTAGTGAATACTCCTCGAGGAAGTATGCTCCTTGAATCGGTTGATGCATCTAGTTATTCATACTGGTGATAACATGTTCATTTTATTTAACCGTTTCATCAAACAAGTCGGCCCGCATGACGTTGTTCAAGTTGTCACAGATAGTGCGGGCAACAATGTTTCTCCTGGAAGAGAAATACACGCACATCTATTGGACTCCTTGTGCGCGTGTTACATAAATTTGATATTTGAAGACATCTTCAAATTGCCATATTTAAAAAGGACATGTGATAAGGCAATCGCGGTGAACACGTATATTTACAATCGTACTTTGCTACTTAATATGATTAGAGAGTTCACCGGGTAAAAGGACATGGTGTGGCATGCAAAGACCCGATTTGCCACAGCTATCATTACCTTGGCAGATTGTTTAAGGCTAACGAGTAATTTTTTAAAAAAATGTTCACTTCTAACCAATGGAACAAAAGCAAGTTTTCAAAGCTGGATGGAGGCACGCACACGACAAATACTATATTGACGTCTTAACTTTTGGAACAATATAGATTTTACAGTGAAATTTGGTTGTCCGTTGTTAAGTGTGCTTTGGTTAGTTGATGGAGAGAGAAAACCTCCAATGAGTTATATCTACGAGGCGATGGATAGAGCAAAAGAGATGATTGCTTAGGCTTTTAAAAACAAAGAATATAAGTATGCAGAAGTCTTCGAAATCATTGAGAAGAGGTGGAATTACCAATTACATCAACCTTTTCATGTTGTTGGGCATTACTTGAAACCGACCATATATTATGAAAATCCAAATATGGAAAATGATGATGAAGTGATGAGTGGATTGTTGTCGTGTATTCATAAATTAGCATTGAACGAGGACGAGATGAAGATTCATGCCAGGCTCCCAATATACCGAAGTGCACAAGGGGTCTTCGGGAACCCAATAACAAAGAAAATGAGAGTAAAAATGGCACCAGATAGAAAAATAATATAAAAATAGTATGCTTTGTATAATTATAATTTTTAGCATACTTTTATATTATTTTGTTACTAAATTAGCGGAGTGGTGGATGCAATATGGAGCTTCAGTCCCGACATTAAAAAAATTTGTGATCAAGGTGTTGAGCCTTAGTTTTAGCTCGTTGGATTGTGAAAGGAATTGGAGCGTATTGTATTTGAACATGTAAGTAACTCGTTTTTTGTGAGTTTAAGTATATATATACTTTGTATAATTATAATTTTTAACTTACTTGTAGGTAGCTACATTCTAAGAAAAAAAACTGACTAGAGCAACAAAGTTGAATGACTTTGTTTATATCAAGTATAATCGGGCTTTAAGAATGAGGTACAATAAGCATGATACGTTTGACTCGATTATATTGGACGATGCAAATGTTCTAGATCCGACTGAATGGTTCATATGAGGCGTAGAAGCAGAGCAAGATGTCCTGATTTTCGAGGATGATGGTACGTTGTCCTTGATGAAAATCTTTGGTACAAATTTTACCAAGGTGGTGATAACAAAGAATAAAGTTGTCCTCAACTTCAGATGACCTTTAGAGATTTATGAGAAGGCGGCAGACTAGACATAATACAAGGTTATATAATGTTGGGTTTACAAGAAGTACACATACCGAAAGGCAGTTGATTTGTAGACCAACATCTAAATAAGAGATTATTGAGTTGTGGAGACTAGATGCTTTTTGTGTGCGTCAAGGGTGTCCGACATCAAAAATTGTGAAAATGATGAATACAAATACCAAACTAAGGTGACATTATATTATTTTCATGCATTGTGTAGACATAGTTTTATTTGTAATATGTGACTCTCTATGTATGAGTCCCATTGTAATTGTAAACCTTATATAGATATCAATAATAAACCATTCTAGTCCGTCTGTAGGTGTCACTTTTATTTTGATTATTTTAGTGATTAGCCCATAATTATGTTATCACAATTGTTTCGGACAATGTGATTCACTAGTCACTTTTATTTTGGTTATTTTAGTGATTAGCCCATAATTATGTTATCACAATTGTTTGGGACAATGTGATTCACTAGTCACTTTTATTTTGGTTATTTTAGTGATTAGCCCATAATTATGTTATCACAATTGTTTTGGACAATGTTATTCACTAGAACAAAATTTACGCGCTATCCATTTTTCTTTCAAATCCTAAATAAAAAAATATTTTTTCTTTGAAAATAATAGGAAAAGAATATTATCCCACAAAATCCTAGGATTACAACTTCCAATGAAAAACGAATCAGCGGACTGATAAAAAAGAAAACCCCATTTGGGGAACACTTTTTCCATACATAAACTTTTTGTATCTTGCAAAAAACGAAGTAACAATAATATTAAAAAAAAAAAAAGGTACAAGTCCAGTATGCATGCGTCTACATCCAAAGCTTTTTGGTTAGTAGACACTAGAGGAAGTGGGCAGCGGGCAAAGCAAGGGCCTAAAAAGATTGTGTAATGCATGAGGCGTAAGATACAAGTCGGGCAGATTTCTGCCCGAACATAGGCCAAAAAAAATAATTAAATAAATATTCAGGATTTGAATTCTCACAAGACAGTTTTTTAGTTTTCTTCATAAAACACATAACCTAAAACAAATATTCAGGATTTGAATTTGAATTTGATTAATCAAATTATTCCTTTTTACTTAAGATCAGTGTTAGTTTTTTATTTTGTTGGTAGGTATTAATTTAATTTAAAAAGTACAATTTTTTACACTAATGAAACAACAATTCTTAATTTTTCAAAACGAAACTGAGATTTGATTATTATTAAATCGAATTATTTCCATATCTTGTCATTGAATTGTCATCCACGTCATTCTTAATTCAATCAGGTAAACATGTTATAATTTATTAATTTACCTGATTTATACAAAAAAAGGTTTTTTAAGACAATTATATACAATAAAGATTTCCTACGTATTAGTAGGAAAGATTAAAAGAAAATAATAAAAGTATAAATTTGGAAAAAAAAAATAGGAAACTAATGAATGTCAAATGGTGGTTGAAACAATAATATTTAGATATTATTTAGATATGTCTTATATTTACCATAATTAAAATTTCTTATATGTGCCCTTAGGGCACATGTTAGAAAATCCCTACAATAAATCTTAAACTTGGTTATCACTTATATATATGTGATCTTGATTGGTTGATAACAATAGAATGTCCATTTTTGAGTAAGGTTACTTAATTATCACATTATAATTATTTGTTTACTCACTAATAATTATACTTTTAATTATTAATTATGAATCTAAAATATTTTAGATGGTTTTTGGTCAATATGTATCTAATTAAGATTCTAAAAGCATGAGTGTTTTATTTTATTTGTAGTGTAAAAGGATATGAAAGACATAGTAATTAATAAGGAGAAAAATCAATGTACCTAATTAAGATACACAATATTTATGATATTCACGAGTGGCTAGAAATAAATTATTTGAAAATTAATGAACAATATGGAAAAAACCAAATTTTTTTGTTAATATTTTAAAACATAAGATGTACAATTCAGTAACAATTACATGTGTTCATTATCAAACATGCAAACACACTAACACAACTCATCTATCCGTTAGTGAAAAATGCATACCACTACTTTTACCAATATAGAAAATAACAACATATAATAGCAATTTACATATATATTTATTTGCACATAATACACATAATAATAACATACTAATAATTTCTTAACATATTCATATTTCTTTATCGATAATAGCAATATTTATTTATAATAAAACATGTAACATTTTGTAAGTTTCTGGCTATATATTGTACTATATATAGATAAATCGTAAATATAAGTACTTTGTTATTAAGTACATTACTAGTGGCTGTAATTTCCTCTATTGTTTAATAATTAAAACTCATTTTAGCAACAACATTTGTATCTTAAAAAATCGTACATAAAATTTCCATCATAGCAGAAAATAACTTTTCTTTGAGAATCCAAAAAATAGTACAGAATACAGATCTAATTAATTAATGATTTGTTTATAAAATATAAACCCAAAAAACAATAGTGTACTTGGCACGTTTATACATAACTATTCACTATTACATTTAGCTTTTAACATCCTAATCAACCATAGATTTCAGGAAAATGAACAGTTTGAAAAAGATAATGTATCAATTAAGCTATGATCTTCTGTTAATCTATAGAAATTATTCATTCTTGCATATGATTCTTTTACTATTATTAGCAACAGAAAAACAATTATGATGTTTTGAAAGCTCAATAGTTACATAAAATAAGATATAATTAACTGTTTTATTAAAAAACTATTATATTTACCAGAAAAACTTGTTCGTTTGATTTAGGATATGCGTGGATGAATGCTAATCTCGTTCTCATAAATGTAACCAGTGATTTCTATTTCAACTAACATTCGAATCGAGGGTTCAGAGCTAATAATAATGGTTTATAACTTGATGATAAGTTTTTTGAACAAATCGAAGCATGCAGAAACACAGAAAACGTGAAATTTCAAAACCAGACGCCATTGACGTACGGAATAGATATTACGCCATGAAACTGTATGGAGACTAGAGTGAGGGAGATTGAAGTAGAAGAAGATGAATGATACCTGGAGTGAGTAGAGTACTCAAACAATTTCCCTCTGGAAGAGAAAACGATGAGAGCAACATGAGCATCACAGAGAACAGAGATCTCATGCGCTTTCTTCAGTAATCCTGTTCTTCGCTTCGAGAACGTGACTTGTCTGCTTATTTTGTTCTCGATCCGCTTCAATTGCACTCTCCCTCTCCCCATTTTTGATTTCCCTTCTTTCTTCTTCTACTTACTGTTGTTCGTTGAGAAAAAGCAAAGAGTTGAATCCAAATCCGTTGATTGTGTCATCAAACGAACCAAAAAAGGAAAGGATCCATGAAATTGAGTAGCAGAACGAAAGAGGAATGGTGTTTGGGTAGCAGTTGTCTATTCTATTTTGGTGGTGTATGTTTATAAGAGAAAAAGGAAGGTGGTTTGATCGAAAACCATGGTGGTTTCAGGGGAAATGTTTGTCGAATTCTGATTGGTTCTTAGTACTCATGTGTCGTTTTCAATTGCTTCTTTTAGGTCTATATACAGGAATTTTTCTCAAATTAATATGTTAATTATTAGCGCGCATAATCTAGGAAAAATCTTACAAAAAAAACCACTACATTTTTTTTAATTTATCACAACAGCAATTTTAGCTTTTCTTTTAAAAAGACATTTATATTTATTAATTTTATAAAAAAAGCATTTATGTATTAAAGACTTATAAAGCAACAAAATTTTAAAAATATATATTTTATTTTCGTAATATAATGAAAATTATATAAAGATAACTAAATTTGTTAACCACTAAAGAGAGAGATCTACTAGAAAAAAAAAGGAGTTTCCTACAAAAATATCCTAGGAAATTTCCTAGAAAAAAAATTCGGAAAAAATAGTCTTGGAAATGCTTCGGGGCTTCCGACAAAAAATATATAATCGGAAATTCCTCAGAATTTTCCTTGGAAATCTCTCACAAAAAGTTTCCTAGGAGGGTTTTAGATGCTCATAACTTTTCTTCGGTATTTCCTTGGAAATATCGGTTTCGTAGGAATTTCTAAAGAAATTGTCCTTTGGAAAAGACATCTTTTTTTTAGTAGCGTGAGAACGATATTGTTTTTGATTAAAATAAAATTGAATTTTTTTTTTGACATTGGAAATACCAAACAACTGCTTTTTTGTTTCGTTTATTTTTTTTATGTTGGTTTGTTTTTTGTTGGTTTTATATCAAGGTTATAATAATCATTCGACAGTTGCTTGACGGTCGACTGGGTTAAGGGATTAATCGGTCTTCATTGAGATTAATCGGGCACCATAGATTATTAATAAAATATTAAAATTAATCAAAGATTAATATATTTTAAGAAAGCAAATATTTACTTTAAAATTAAAATTTAAGAAAATTTAAAATTTAAAAAATACGAAAATACGAATATTTTGGTATAATATTTGAAATTTTGAAAATTTAAAAAAATTTTAAAATTTTGGTGAAAAAAAATTGATTTTTTGAAATTTTTTTTACTTTATTGATTTTTGTTGACCGATTAATACCACCAAACCTGATTAATCCTTAATTTCCGTCAAGAACTCATAATCCTAATCGGTTGGAGAACGTCAAGTGATTCATACACGATTAATCCCGATTTCTGCAACCTTATTTTATATATAAGAAACCAAATTAAATATAGAAAATCGATTATCCTGAAATAAAAAAACCAAACGTTTCATTTTTTTTCGATTTTTGTTTTCGTTTTTGGTATGGTTTTGATTTTTATGTACCGCTTATTGATCACCAAGTTCACATTTTGTTCAATCATAATAAATACGACATACCATATGAAAGAGAATCATCATAGTTTAAAATTATAGAAAATTTCTTCGAGTATATATATATATATATATATATATATATATATATATATATATATATATATATATATATATATATCTGTGTGTGTGTGTGTGTGTTACTTCATATTTATGTGTAAGATGAAAATGGGTAACTGACGATTTCGGCAACGCTTCGCTTCATACTTTAAAAAGACCTAGACACATAAAATGTTAGGTCTTAGTCTAGTTTTGTAATCCTGGTGAATACAATAATTATAGTCTAGATTCCTCACTAATCTCGATATCTACATCAAGATCTATCAAGTAAGGATCAACTAGGCATGACAGTTGGGAGGCATGACCATTTCGGCGTATAGCCTTTCTGAAATCTAACACCCAAGCCAACGTGACCATTCTAGACACTTCTCTCGTAAGTATATCAATCAATATAATGACTTGGAATTACTGATAAATCTTATTTATATGTTCATAATAACGACTTATGACTATAAATACAAGTTACACTAAAATAAATAGAGTGTAGCTTAACTTACAGGGATTTCTAGCAAAAGGTTGGGAACTATACAAGCAGAATTCCAACTCGAGAGCTTCTATTTGGCGGGCTCTTTGATGCCTAAAGCCTTGCTAAACACCCCTAAGGACTAGAAGGACTTAGACTCAAGAAGAAAGAAGTCTTGGAGCAAATGGGTGTGCAAGATGTAAGCGAATGAGTGATTTTCGTAGCTTATTTATAAGCTGCCAGGAAGGAGTACGCCCAATGTAATTTTAGGTTACAACCATCGTAGTGAGTACACCAAGTGTAATTTAGGGATACGCCCAACGTAGTGGCGTGGGCAACAAGCAAATACGTATGTATATTTTAAATCTTTAAAAATTCATAAATTTTGCATACGAGCTCTGTTTTGACATTCTTTTTATCCACGCCTAGCAATCGACGAGATCTACAACTTTCATTGGCTAATTTGACTTTATTTTTAAAGATATATTTTTAACTGACTTAAACTGTTTGTAACACCCATAACAATCATGCCAAATTTGAACTTTTAAAAACATTTCAAAACCATTAAATCATTAAAACTTGTTTTCAAAATGTTTAATATCAGAGTTTTCCCAGAAACATAAACAAAACATGAGGAGCTGTACGATCACGCCTTCGCCTTGCCGCGATCCCCTGATGTACCTGAAACAATAAACTGAAACTGTAAGCCCGAAAGCTTAGTGAGTTCCCCCAAAATACCCATACCCACAACAATACACATATAACCATAAACAGCATACTATGGGTCCAGTCAACCATCGGGTTGGAATACCCCAGGCCCTCAACCATCCGGTTGGAATGCCAACATACTATGGGTCCAATCATCCTCGGGATGGAATACCCTAGGCCCACAACCAACAGGTTGGAATGCCCACACACTATGAGTCCAATCATCCTCGGGATGGAATACTCATGGCCCACAACCAACAGGTTGGAATGCCCAGGTCTATTGGCCTCCATACAAAGCAGATAAGCCTCAACCGCCAAACAAACATGTGCACATATAACTGATAATCACATAACAGTCTATAGACAAACAAATCGATCTAACAGATCATAGCCACATAACACACAATACCATCCTATCTACCAGGATACCAATCTAACAGATCATACTAGCATAACATAACCATATAACAATCCAAAGGGCCGGCCTTGGTGCCTTAGACCCTTGAGTATAGTGAGGATAACTCACCTTGCAAGTAGTGCCGAAGTACTATAAATCTCTGACTGTTTTCTCACCGGGAATCCCGAACTATTACATAATAAATACTAAGTTAATACCCAAAATAACCTTCTTGACTAAGTGTCCACACACCTCATTAAATCCATTCTCTTTATTAGGCCAAGGCCCAATACCAAGTCCTTAACTTGAAGGTCCATATATATAAAGCCCATTATTGGCCCAATTTACTAAATTTGGCCCAACCTCCTAATTGGGCCTAACCCTGTGATCCATTATCACTACCTGGCCCAAAATATCTTATTTACAAAGTCCAACAAAGGCCCAATTCCATTTAGTCCATAAACAACCCAAAACTCTAAGTCCTATTGACAAAGGCCCAACAGAGGACGTACGTGGGGCGTACTCCTCTGGTACGCAGGGCGTACTCGTCCAGATGTTGACCACCATCGGGGTGGTTGACCCAGTACGTTGGGCGTACTAGATTTACGCTTGGCGTATGCAGTGTATTGCCAAAATCTTATTAAGTGCTTAATGGCTTAAGCACTTAAGCCCAAACTTCAGATCCAGAGACCTAACGTGCCTAGGATCCATAAAGTCATGAACTTTATCACTTTGGACGTCCATAAGGCTCTTAATGCTTGGTCTTAATCCATTAGGACCGTATTTTTCCATGCATGGGACACATACAGCTAATGGGACCTCATTTTTATCACTCAAGGTCCCTTCAAGAGCCTAGAAGGACAGCCCTTTTTGTCCAGATCACATCATGCACCACTTTTTGCCTTTTTGGGACAAGAAATGCTCTTATTAAAGTAAAATGGTGAGATCTATACATATATTCATAAAGTTTGGAACTTTATACCTTCTGGAGCTTCTTGTGCACAAGCTAACTTCAGATCTACAAGCTTGATCTCTTTCTCTAACTCTTTAATGCAATAACTTCCTCTTAAAGCACTCAAGAACACACTCAATAAGCTTAAACACACAAAGGAAAGGCTAGGGTTTGGGGAAGACGAGTATAATCTGTGGAGGCTGAGGTAAGGGAAGGTTTGGTGCTCATAATGTTGCTTATATAGGCCCCAAACCCTAAATATTAGGGTTTCACCCTGACATTAGTACGCCCAGCGTACTAAGGCGGACCTTAGTACGCTTAGCGTACTCTTATATACGCGAAGCGTACTCCCTCTTGGCCCAAGTTTGCAAACTTGGCCCTTAAACTTATCTTGGCTTTTCACTTCCAACCCCAAGGACTATAAATGACAAGGTAATGATAGAAGAGGGTTCGGGAATACCTGCCAAATCTCGGGATGTTACAATTCTCCCCCACTTGACTTAGACTTCACCATCGAAGTCTGCTGCGGCAAATAGATCTGGGTAATGCTCCCGCATCTCAGACTCGGGCTCCCAAGTCCACTCGGATTCTCTCCGGTGCTCCCACTATACCTTTACCAAAGGTATCTCATTGTTCCGCAGAACCTTCATCTTCCTCTCCAGAATGGCCACGGGCCTCTCTACATAGTTCAGGCGCTCATCGACCTGAATATCATCCAACGATACTACTGCCTCCTGATCCATGATGCATTTTCGCAATTGCGAAACATGAAAAAGTGTTGTGTATCTGACGGAGCTCCTCCGGAAGATCCAATCTGTATGCAACCT